AAAAAAAAAGGCTTTACTGAAACAAACCTTAGTGATGTTACTCCACGATCTGTTTTCATCTCTTTCACAATTTGAAAAAAGTTAGAGCCACTTTAGTACAATCTTTCATGTACGATCACTAGTAAAAAAAAAAAAAGTTTTTATAACAGATAAAAAATACTTTTTATAACGGTTTTGAGTTTGTCATAGTTTCACACGTTATAGAAAGTATGAAATTTCTATATTTCTATGATGGGTGTGACCTTGTTATAAATTGGCTGCCATTTATAAATTGACCCGTTATAATTATTTCGTTTACCCGTTATAAACTACACTATTTATAACGGTTCCTCATTTACCCGTTATAAACTACACTATTTATAATAGTCGCCTTCATTCACTGGTTATAAACTACACTATTTATAACAGTCGTCTTCATTCACCGGTTATAAACATGATTTTGTTTATACTATAATTTAAACGGTTTACTAAATACATGTTATAAACATAAGGATTAATTGCCAATTAAACCTTGACTTTTTCACTTTTGACAATTTAATCCAAACTTTTACATAAATGCAATATAATCTTAGCCTTGTATTACTTTTGCAAAATGAACTTAAAACCCGTCGGACGGCGAAAAGGTGTCAGCGTGTCCTGTTAATTTTATCTACGTGTAATTTTGAGTTTGCTCAGTAAGATTAAGTGAAATACGTGGAATTTCTGAAAAACCGGTATAAAAACGATTCCCTTCCCCAATTTTACAAATTCTCCAAATCGACATCGACTAACCCTAAATTAAAGTTCAGTGACTTTTTTTCTTTCTTGCAGACGATAGCTCGCGCAAGCCACAGTCGTGCTAGTGGAAGATATCGACTTCACCAGAGTTCTGGAAGCTTCAGTATTCCTTCGACTTCATCTCGCGCAAACTCAAAATTACACGTAGATAAAACCAGCCGGACACGCTGGCACCTTTTCGCCGTCCGACATGTTTTAAGTTCATTTTGCAAAAGTAATACAAGGCTGAGATTATACTGCATTTATCTACAAGCTTGGATTAAATTGTCAAAAGTGAAAAGGTCAAAGTTTAATTGGCAATTGACCCTAAACATAATGTATTTGATAACGCGTAAATAATGACCCCTCATAATTTTGAAACGACATTAAAATGCACAACTTTTTTAAATCGTAGATAACACCTGTTATAAAAGGGTGCAATATTTCATTTTTTTTTTAAAAAAAAAAGTTAAACTACCATATCAACAAACAAACAGAAAAAGAAAATATCCACCATTACTTCAATGCAAACACACCAACAACATAGCTCAACTTCACAAACACAACAATACCAAGTGACAAAGAGTTTCACACCACATGTTCAACAAACTACGGAGTGTGTCTAACAAAAGTTTAATCTTATTCTACTTCACTAATGAAATTATATCGAGAAAATATTGAGTCCAACGTCTCCTTACATCATCAATATCATCACTCGACAAGGGTTTGTCCAAATTAAACACCTGATTTTTTTTTTAAAAAAAAGTAATTATAACATGACCGAGACGAAAAGACAGATTAAATTATTTACTTCAAAATATATTAGTGCTTGATATTTACAAATTATTTTTATTTAAAATTACCTTATCAAAGTTGTTAGTGACGTCAAGTGATGATTTCCAACATATATCTCATAATGAAATACCCGCATTCAACACCTCCTGATTGTCGGTGAGACTTGAATTAAAATATGAAAAGAATTGTATAACATTACTTACAAAAAATAAGATAAATGTAATGATTAAAACTATAGTAACAAAATGAAATGGCAAGTTACAAAATAACATTATTTAAAAAATAAATTTACCTTTGGATAGACCAACGCGAATTTCTTTAGTTTGTAGGGATGAAAAATGCCTTTACATAATAAATGTAATATGTGAAAAATGCCTAATATGTGAAAAAATGCCTTTACATAATAAATGTAAAACATAAAATTTAGTTTCAAATAAATTCTAAGTATTAGATCGAAATCATTTGAAAATAAAACATACGTCATTAGTTTGTGGAGTATATCAGTTTTAAGCTTTCTTGACAAGGAACAGAAACAAACCACCATATTCTTTTTATTATAATGAATATCAATGAATTTATCGCAGATGTTATTGAAACTATAAAAGAAAAAAAAAAAAGTCTTTTTTATCATATTTGATTAGATCTGGTTTGAAACCACATATATGCAATTAATGCATATATTTAAAAAGTTTTTAAAAAAGGTATGCATTAAATGTTCTTAAATTTGTTGGCTACTATATTTAGTAAATGGTTATTCTTTTTATAAAATATAGATATAGATTTGGTTTCACATATTGGGTTGATATAAGCCCATTTATCATATGGCCAGAACTTAGAATATGTTTTTTTATATTTATTTTGACCAATATATTATCAACATGAATCATAAAAAATCAATTTTGCAGCTTATTATACTGAAAAATTTAATTATAAATGTTGTTTTGTAGTCATAACGTTAAACATGTGTCTATTAGCCCTATTCTTTAAATTAATTAATACATTATCTCGCTAAATTGTTTATACGAATATAAATTTGATTTTAGCATATATATATACTTATTCCTTGATATAAGAAAAAATAACAATTTTACATATATTATTATTCACCATATAATACTTAATTATTATTTTGTTATAAAATTTGTTGTCACATAATTTCATTATATTTTTTTTTTTTTGCATATGAAGCATGATCTGGGATGATCTGTGTTGATTGAGAAGTTGACAATTGGCTGAGTTGAATAGTTGGATACTGTTATGGAAGGCTGTGGTAGAGGCTCTGTTGTTCTCCTAGGAGTTGTCCTTGTAGTTGCTTTTGATGTTGTTACATAATTTTTGTTTTGAATTACAACGGGAACCTATGAACTGACTGAAGTGTTCAGTTCGTACAAGAAGAACTAAAGTAAAATAAAAAT